AATTTGAGTTTTAAGTGCTTTAATTAAGCATTTTAGAGGGATTTAAATAGTTTTAATTTTATATAAGAAATTTTTTAACTTGTATCTTTAAAATACATGTTAAAAGCATTTTTTCATCATAAATATGTATAAAAAAATTGAAAAAATTTGACAATTAAAAAAAAAAAGAGTAGCCCTTCAAATACTCCGTAGAATTTACTATGAAGTTTTAACCTTTTCAAAAAAAAATTCCCTTTTTTAAAATTTAATTTAGTTTAGTTAATTTTTTAATTCAAAATTAATTGAAATTTTTTAAAACCCAAAATGAAAAAATAATCAAAGTACTAAGGAGTACTAAACTAACTCGATTAATCTCTGAGGCAACTCGAAACCATTTCTCTACTCTTTCTTCCATTTAAAAAAAAATTATTTTATTTTTACGTTTTATTTGTTAAATGAGAGGAAGGATTGTGCTTGGTTGGATTAGGCCTTCTATGTCCCAATAAAATGGCCCAATGACAAGAGGTCATTTTCTTGATGAACCAATAAAATGGCCCAAAGGGCTTTGTTTACAGTTAGCCCAATAGACTGGTCTATAAATCTGTAGCCTGCACCAGAACCGTCCGATTCTGGTCTCTTCTAAGTTCTATATCACAGCCGCCTGATTGGATGAATACTGAATCCATTTCCTCTCGGCATTAAAAATGCACCGGAAAGTACGGGAAGTGACCCAAACAAACCCAGATCCAGATTATATCTAGCGTGCCACTGCCATGGGATTGGGTTACGGTTTAACCGAGTCATTCCTTAGTTTTTACAAGGTTTAAGTACCATTTTGGTCCCTCAACTTATCACTTTGGTACCAAAATTGTCCCTCAGCTTTAAAAAGTACCAAAATTATCCTTAAACTTTCATTTTTGGTACCAAAATGGTCCATCCGTCAGTTAAACGCCAGGTGTCACGTTAAAATGCCAACAAATCAATTCTTTTTTTTTCTTAATCAATGACATGGAAACAAAAAAACATAGTTAACTATTTTTTTATGAGTTGGCATTTTTATTTAATTTAAAAATAATAATTTTTTTTTTTTTTTGCATCCACGCCTCAGGAAAAAAAAATTTTCTTCTTCCCCTTTTACTCTCTCTCCTTCACCTTTCCTTCCCCTTTCTTCTGCAAACCCAGATCTGGAGTGGACGCTCGATAAACAAAATTTTCTGTAAGGACCAGATTGCGGTTCTCTTCTGTAGGGCTGACTTGGCGAAGCTCTGTTTGTTCTGCGACCAGCATGTGCACTCCGCGAACCTGCTTTCGCGGAAGCACTTGCGGTCTCAGATCTGCGATAACTGCGTTCTGAGCCGGTTGCGGTTCGGTGCGTGACGGATAATTTGGTTCTGTGTCAGGAGTGTGACGGATAATTTGGTTCTGTGTCAGGAGTGTGATTGGGATGCGCACGGGAGCTGTTCTGTGTCTTCCGCGCATGAGTGGACTCCGGTTGAGGGGTTCTCTGGATGTCCTTCGGTTCTGGAGCTGGCGTCTGCCTGGGGGCTTGATGATAGGACTTCCCTGGGTTGAAAATAATATGGGCCACGATTCATGTTATGGGGTTACAAGATTCGGAGTTTGTAGAGCAAAATCTAATCCCTGATTCTTGTGTTGTAGATGGATCTGGGTTTGATAGAGGAAGACCCAGATCTGGGTTTGATAGAGGAAGACCCAGATCTGGGTTTGCAGTAGTGAAAAGGAAAGGACTTCCAGTGACGAAGAAGAAGGCACAAGCTCTGGGTCTTTCCCTGGGTTTTCTCGAACAGCGATTCGACAAAATAGCATCATCGGAAAGGACTTTCGACGACGAAGAAGAAGGCACGAGCTCTGGGTCTTTCTCTGGGTTTTCTCGAACAACGATTCGACAAAACAGCATCATCGGAAAGGACTTCCAGCGATGAAGAAGAAGGCACGAGCTTTGGTACAAGATTCGGAGTTTGCAGAGTATAATTTAAGGACTTCCTCCTTGATTCGGGCGTTGCAAACAGATCTGGGTTTATCGAGCGTCCACTCCAGATCTGGGTTTATCGAGCGTCCACTCCAGATCTGGGTTTGCAGAAGAAAGGGAAAGGAAAGGTGAAGGAGAGACAGTGAAAGAGGAAGAAGAAAATTTTTTTTTTCTGACGTGGATGCAAAAAAACAATATTATTATTGTTAAATTAAATAAAAATGCCAACTCAGAGAAAAAATAGTTAATTATGTATTTTTTTTCCATGTCATTGATTAAGAAAAAAAAAGAATTGATTTGTTGGCATTTTAACGTGTCACCTGGCGTTTAACTGACGGAAGGACCATTTTGGTATCAAAAATGAAAGTTTAAGGATAATTTTGGTACTTTTTAAAGCTGAGGGATAATTTTCGTACCAAAGTGATAAGTTGAGGGACCAAAATGGTACTTAAACCTTTTTACAAAGAAAAAAAACAAAAAAATCACCTCTTCTGGGTAATTTTTATTATTGGAGATATTACATACATAATTTTAACTACACAACTATAACTTGATTTGAAATTAAATTAGTAAATTATTAAATTTTATATATAGAAAAATGAACCAATTATTTGTGCTACATCGAGTTGTAAATAAATTTATATAATTAAGGTTTGTGTGTATAGCTTTTTCCTGCTTCATGGAGACTTAGAAACCTCCTAATATTAAACCTGAGATTTTGTTTTCATAAAATCTAAAATTTATTCACATAATTAAAATCAATCAATTCGAATCAAATTAATACCTCCATTTTATGAATATATTAAACTCTATTTCATGTGATTGTGATTTTTTTTTAGCTTTTATAAAATTTAAAATTATTGAAAACCAAAATTAAAAATAAAAAAAATTGTTTAAAACAAGTTTCAACACTAATAACTAATAACATCAAAGAAAAACACAAATAACAAAAACTATAAAGTTGTTTAATAATATTAAAACTATTTTTGTTTCTACTTTGCTCTTTATTAATCATGATAATATTTTGACAAATAAACATGAACTAAATGAGGTTTTTTTTTTTAATTTACAAAATTTAAGAAATGACAGTGATTGGTGCACATTCCGGTTCAACACATTACATGATACACTTATTTAAAAATCACTATTTTTTAGTATGAAATTAAAGATAATCAAGTTTTATGATATAATCATACGCATAGGATACATGAATCGACTGAATTGACTGTATTTATATTATATTTTTAATGATTAAACCGAAAGGTATTGTTAAGTGTGTTAAACCGGAGATTGTATCAATCATTTTCCTTTACGAAAAATAAAAAAGAAAAGAAAAACTACAATCATACTAAACAAAATCTTAATATCTCTACCAATGTCATATGGCATTTGAGCCCACTTTCTTTTCTTAGGATCCCCATGATTCACTTGAAAATAATGGCTCCTTATCCATATCTAATAACATAGAAGCTTTTAAGGCAACATTCTAGTATTTGGTTACATCAATCTCAATGTATGTAATCTCTTCATGATTTTTTTGACCATTTGAACTATTTTACAAAAAAACGAATATGCTCCAACTCCACAGCAATTTCCATCATCCTTGGTTGCTTTTTGCCACTCAAGCTTAAGCATCTATATGCAAGTTTAGCAACCTTTATGATTTCTTTAGGGGCAGAACTATCTTTAACTTGAGCATTAGGAATATTAAAGAGGTTATTCTCTTCCATGGAAAGAATGAAATGAGAGGCCAAACTTTTTCACCTTCTACCTTTTCTAAAGAAATTGGTTTTTCTCTAGTTAAGAGCTCAATAAGGATAACTCCAAAGCTATAAGTGCCACTATTTTCTGTAAATTGACTTGACTAGTAATCTTCAATGTCTAGTTACCCAAATGTGCATTGAACATTTGTGGTTAAATGAGTTTGATCACTAGCAATTGATCTTGATGTCCCAAAGTTTGAAACTTTTTCCCTAAACTTTTCATCTAAGAATATTTGAGGACTTGACATCTTGGTGATAAATGGGAGGGGAGGCTGCTGAGTGCATGTAGAAAAGGGTAACTGTAACTTTTGATGCAATTGTTAATTGTCTTTCCCAAGATAATGGGAACTCCTCATTCTCATCATGTATGTATTGGAAAAGCACCCCATTGGGAATGAATTCATAAACTAGCAAAAGAACTTCAATCTCCAAACAACACCCTAATAACTTAATGATGTTTTTGTGATTAATATGCGTAAGAATGATCACCTCATTGATGAAATCTTTAACTTTCTCTTTATCTAGTACTTTAGACTCTTAACTATGACAAATTTTCCATCAACCAACATTCCTTTATAAATAGGGCCCTAACCTCCTTAACCAAGTATTTTATTCTTGTTGAAGTTATTAGTTACCCGTTCCAACTACTTGGTACTAAATATTTTGGTCCTTTCAACATTACCCTTATTTGAAGACAGTTGCTACAATAACAAGCCTCCATTTTGTTTGAAGAATTGGCTCTAAAGCTTTGCTTTCCTTCTCCTCTTTAATATTTTGGAGAACCACCAAGCACCAATAACATACAAAATTTTTGTTGAGTACTATAATTTAATAAAAAAATTTCAATTATCATTTTTATAATATATTAAATTTTTATTTAAAATTTATGTTTAAAAAATTAAAAAAATCAAACTAAATCTACGTACTAAATATAAGTAGAGAGAGCAATTGTCCAGTGAAACAAGTGCATCAGCCAAACAGTGTGATGACACATGAATATGTTAAGTCTATGTGAATTGTGTTTAATGTCAATTGATATTTTATTAATTTATGATTTTTCTAAGAACAATGATTATTATATATTTTGATTCAATATATTACATACTATATTTATTAAGAAATTATTAGTTTTTAATATAAAAATAAAACAGATAAATTTAAAAATATAATTATGTATATACTATATAAAAACTAGTTGAATTAGATGTATTTATATTATATTTTAATAGTTAAAACAAATATGTATTAAAAGATATATTGAATTAAAAGATGTATTAATTAAGAAATTATTAGTTTTTAATATAAAAATAA